GCATCGCTGTAAGCGCTGTAAGCATGATTACGCCATTAGCTTAGACATCAGCAAGAGAGAGAGAGAGAGAGAGAGAGAGAGAGAGAGAGAGAGAGAGAGAGAGAGAGAGATGGATGGATAAATATATCATATGGATATAGATATATATATATCAAGTGATATATATATACCGATATATGTTCGATCTTATTGCTATTTTGCCGAATCGCATATGCTGCGCGTTACCTCTCAGTTCGCCATAATTATACTGCCATTGTTCTACTGCGCGTGTGTGTGCGCACGTGCGCGCGCACGTGCCTGTGTGCTTGCGTGCACATGCGTGTGTGCATATTATACGTTACTAGGGCATTGTCTAGCAATTGTATAGTGATACAGACTTCATGAGTTGGAAAATTTATAAATACAATAAAAACACTGTAAAATACTTAAGAATACAATTTTATAATATTTACACTTAACTGGATTACGACGTTTCCATTCATGATTATAATTACATGCACTGTATATTTCCTCCCCACAGTATCCTCTAACTACTCTTTACAAATGCTCATTGGAGCGACACTAAAATGAGAAATACAACTATTAATTCACAGAATAAGACTGGGCACATAAATTGTTCATACAGTAATTAATAATTGGTTCAGTGGCTCGACGGTCCGATCTTATCATCTTTGATATCTAGCGTCTTACGTCAGTCTTAAACGAATATAGACAAAGATTACTGTTATCATGGCAATGACAATGACTGCAGCAACAACCACCCCCGCGATGGTCAAGCTCTCTTTGGACATGCAGACTTGTTGACCCATGTTGGAGTTAAATTTAACGTCTACGTTTTTGTCGGCGTTGGCCCCGGACACCGCAGAACCCGAGTGTGATTGCTTAGGCAGTTTAATAGTGACGCTGTTGTACACATCCATTCTTTCTCTGACGTCTTCAGATTCCTTGCTCTGCGTGGCGTTTCTCTCGTCATTTGTGGTTTCCATTACCTCACGTTTGTACCTGTGCACTCTATCTCCGTTGCAGCTTGGCTGTTAATAAAAATGTATAAAATTGTGACAGGTGCATAAGACCATCACATGTTATATATACTAATTCTTGATAGCACACGCACGCACGCACGCACGCACAGAATGGCTGGTCACGATCGTCAAGAGCCATCATCCTGACCGTCACCCAGCGATACACAACGTATTATTTAATATATATAGATATATATATAATATATATTATATATATATATATAGTGTGTGTGTGTGTGTGTGTGTTTTTATTTAAAACAGGGATTGGTTTAATTCGTTTGCCTTTATTTACCCAATAACGTCTTATTGTAAACTATATAACGTTTTTAAGTTATTCTAAATTGTTGTTAGACTCACCTGATAGCAATTGTGTATACCACACAACGGTAACAACTTGACATTGGACAGTTATATATCTCCGTTCGTCCGGGAACCGGAATTCCCGTAAAACGCGAGATACATGCCGTCGGCGCATGGATTCTGCTACATTGGTGTAGTAGTGTGACCTGGCGAAACAAACTCAGATGCAATCATTCAGGCGCCTGTCATTGCAGCAGAGCATCTGAGAGGATATCTCATTTGAATGACCAGTCTTCTCTGGCGGCTTCTAATATTGACAGCCGAAAACCAAATGCTGTCAATATAGAAACCAAATAAATACATGAAACCCGCTGTATAAACATTTATCGCACACAGTTAAATATGAAATCGTAGGATATTGCAGCATATAATACATATAGTTAATATATAATTATATATATAGGCCTATAGCGGCGTCTACACTATGCTAAAACCCGGGTTTACCGCATCTACACTGTTGCTAAAACGCTGGGTTTTAGAGGTGGTTTCTGTAAAAACGCGGGTTGCATAAACCGCACCGCACCGCCCAATTATTGCCGGTATCATGCTCTGCTAAAACCCGCGCATTTTGAGTCACGCAGCTGAATATGTGTAGACAGAACAATGTGATCGTGGATGACGAAAGCCCCGCTGCTTGTTAGGGCTATGTATCCACCACTTGCAGTACTAGATGGTGCTGCGATTCAGCCAGAAGGTGGGTTTCTTGTACGAGCTGGTAGAGCCGCTGCACCACACCATGCTGTGCTATGCAACGAAAACGTGCGGCGTTTACTGAAACAGCGTACGATTGCTGGTGGTGTGGGGCGTGTTCGTGTCGTTAGAATGTCAAACAGACGGCAAGCTATGCACTTCTATGAGAGCACAGGTTTTAAAAACCGCGCGGGTTTTAGTCATAGCTCGTAGAGCTGCACGACCGACAACGTCGCCGTTTCTAACATCAATGACACACGTACGCGGGTTTTAGAAAAAATCACGGCTCTTAAGTCTAATCACGGTCAGACGATGTCGGCCGACTTAAATATACTCACCCGTCGTCATTGATCAGGTCAACTGCTGTATGCTTCTCACCGTAATGGTCGTAACGATCGTAAGCGAAGCAATTGCTGACAGTCAGGTCGAAGTAATCTGAAGCAGGAATTTATTCATGCTAAATTAACAGGACTTTAAATTACATTTTCGACAAAACGGCAATAATTGCATCGAATATCTGAAGTTACTGTACGAAATTACCTACAAGCGAGTATATACTATATGTTTTAAAATAGCACTGCAAAGGAATGTATACTTACAACTGTCGTGCAGATACACGACCAGGGTAGCAGTGTCTCCCAAAGTCAACTCGCTGGTTCCGTAGTCCAGTGGATCTTTGCCCTTAACGATTTGCATCCAGCAGGAAGGCAACCCAACAGTAGCTGTCTCCAGCGTTGAAGCACGATCCTGTTGTAATCTAAATCGCAAAAAAATCACGAGTAATATAAGAAATAGCCCATTAATTTGCATATTTCTGCACCAAGTAATTAACATATTCTGTGTGTACGTGGGGTTGCAGCCCGCCCCTGGGTTGAGGCGGGAACAAGGCTACTTACGGGACTGCGAGATCGTAGTTCACGGTTCTTGCTCTCATTCCGCTGAATTCACACCTGACTGTGTAAAATTCGTCCAAGTCGACCAAAAATCCCCAGTCTTGCTTCATAATGACGATTACATTCTCAGCTCGGTGTGAAGCGTATTCTTCGTCAGACTGTAGTAAGGGAAAGACCCTAGGTTGGTTATCGCATTAACTATCAGACACGAGTGACAACATTGCAAATGTCCCTATAGGTATTAGGGTTTTATTATATTAATATAGTCGTAGTTATAGAAATGAAATTTCTTTCTGTGAATCGACATGATTCTAATTATTAATATGCGTACCATTGCTTTGTTGGTTGTTCCACAATCTTCTATCGGAATGTCAAAGTTTACGAAATTTGACCCATCTCCAGACACTCTGCATGAGCTATCGCCGTAGTGATTTCTGGTGTAGACAACTCCGTTAAACCCGTGTTCAAATGCGAGCTTAACTTTCATCTCATGGTCGTAAATGTCACAGTTGACATCAACATCTGCAATGATGTACATTTTCATTAGATCTGTACAGCCGCTTAAGCACCTTTACTTCTATATTATGGTATATACAATAGATAAATATGATTAGGCACATTCAGATACGCAGTGAAATGTATTCAAGATGTAAAATTTAACGTAAATTATATCTGTCTTCCTTCTATCTTTCACACGGGAGCTTGCCGCTAATCAGCCAATACATACCAACGAGTTTGTTATCTTCTGGTTCCTCGGGCAGCCATGGGTCATAGGTAGTTGTCTCATAATAGTGAAGATCTGGATATTCAGTTGTCTCGTAATAGTGATGATATGGCTCCTCGGTGGTAGTGTAGTAATGGAGGTATGGCTCCTCAGTGGTCGGGTAGTAATGGTGATCTGGATCCTCGGTGGTCAGGTCGTAATCGTGATATGGTTCAAGGTATTCTTCGTTTGCCCACGATAGCACTATCTATATAAGCGATACCGGAAAATAACGCATTTAATACTAGAATATATAGAATATATATAGAATATACAATTGTTCTATATTCCTGAAAATATAGCTGATTATGTACCCGATTATGCACCCGAAATGTAGCCGATTAATTCATTATTTTATAATAATTTCGATTATATAGTCGATATTAAATACACAAATAAATAAATATTTATAAATAAATAAAGATCAATGCACAACTCAAACAACGGATATTACATAAGCCATGCTTCCATTCTAATAACATGAAAACTTCAGATACGAGAAAGACTTACGATGTGCAGCAATAGGAGGATTTGTCGCGTCATAGCTTTTCCTGTTTATACCTGCACGTGTTAAAGATTGAAATAAATAATCGAAGACATAAAACGGTTGAAATCATTTAACATAACATTCTGCTTCACCGGATGGCAATAAACGCTCACATGTGCAGCATAATTATAATCGTACTTCAAATTAGAATATCTAAATTAATCCGTTATAAATCTATCAACGGTTTGTCTCTATAGAAAGTCATTCCATGCTTTTACATTACAATAAGTGAATTCGTTTAGCAGTAGGTATATATCTTACCAAGAGATGTTTTCGTGTCTTCCTGGCAGCAGCAGCGACGATGGCAGCAGACGTTAGATGATGTACTGAACTCGCGGATCTCAATACTCGTCCCCTATTCCCGTGCAACGTCTTATATAGCCCAGTTACGTTTTGGTGATGCGGAATTATGGGCATCAATTTGAACGCGCTAAATAATCAACATTCCACGCCGCAGGCAAGGTGCGGTTGCAATTAGAAAACCAGGCGCAAAACCAGTCAACGCACGCCGACTAGCATTGATAGAACAAACGCGTAGTTTACTAAAACGGCTGGAATGGGAAGCGAGCTGTAACATTTCCATCAAGACGTAGGCTAGGATGATAACGTTGTTGTTGTCGCTTCCGTGTACACAAATAGGATAGCCTGGACAGGTGTGTCGAGCAAAGATTCGACAAGTATAATTAGAAATGTTACCCAGAATGAGCCGCAGCGTCGTGGCTGACGCGGTGTATAGGGATGGATCGACGTCGCCACGTTGTTGTCGCTTGTCTGCGTTTATCGCTGAAAATCCTTACATTCGCTTATATCCGTCTTAAACTATACGTCGCCGATATGCGTGTGCTTTCCCAGCCACGTTTTCATTGCAATTCGGTCGAACAAAAATAATAAACCATGCAGCGCGGAGAAGTTATGTAACTGTGTTGTCTCGTTATTGAAGAGATACGATTGATAGACCTTCGATAACTTAACTAGCAGAGATGTTTTTACCTGGACCGGCAGCTTTCGTTGAGTTTAAAGTTACTGAAAAACACTGACTCATTCCTAAGACATGCAATTACAATTAAAATTCGATTACTAAACCTATTTTCAAAGTATTACACCTAGATAGTTTCTAATCCTAGGTTTGGCGCGTGTCTGTGGCAACTGGTCAGAGATTTTGGGTAGAATCTTTGAAGAGTCTCTGTTTATCCTATCTATGACTGTAATACTTTACAGTAACGTATCGATCTAGTTGTGTAATCTTATATGATTAGTATTATAATGTCTGAGTGCATGACGTGATAAATCGCTGCAATCTCATTGGATAACGCAGCAGGCACTATGAAGCGATAGTGCCCGCTGAGCGGGCACTATCGCTTGCGCGACGCATTGTTATTATAACGCATTGTGTTTACGTCACGAATCTCCTGCGTCTGGGCGCCAAGCAAGAGTAATTTCGAACGGCGGTTGTGTTTGTGTCGAACGTTTTGTTACATCGAATGCACCGGCAAATTAGGGAGTATAAAGAAGGTATATACGCATGAAAAGTAGATTGCATAGTCATGTGATGCACTAAAAACATTAATGCCTGTCTGTTGGGGGCACTATGCTCTCATAGTGTTGCTTTGGAAGGAATAGTGCCCTCGCTACGGTTTACCGCTTGGGCACTATTTCTTCCCTCAGCAACACTATGAGAGCATAGTGCCCCCAACAGCAGGCATTAATATATAAATAATGAATATAAATAACCTTTTGAATAAATTTAATAAACAATAGAGGACAACGCACATTGTATATTCAGTTTGCGCTTATATCATACAAAAGCGGGCAGACCGCAAGTCTGCCCTGTTTTCTCTATGCCTCGGCATATGGCTCGAGCTATCTTTACGCATACAGAAGAAACATACTTATCGGTATTTTTTATATGAAATCGATTCAATAATAATATTAATAATAACAACAATAATAATAATAATAATAATTATTATTATTATTATTATTATTGTTATTATTATTATTATTATATGATGATGATATGATGATGATTATTAGTAATAAATAAATTACATGTAAATTTATATTATGCATGCTAAATTTATTATATCATCAGACAACGTAAAATTGGAATTGATGGTATTTATAATCACAATTTTCGAACACTAGTAGTCAATATTTTATAAATATACAAAATCTAGTGGAGAATAATAAAAAATCCCTCATTTAAAATTGTCATATAAAATATATCTACACAGTATCACACTATATATAAATTATTGTCCCTATCACGTTAAACATTTGAAAATTAAATTCCAGACCCTAAATATACCATAATAATAATAACATTTAAGTTATAGTTAAACATGAAACATTACGTAAAGAACCTTATACAAAAAAGTACCAATCATGCAGATCAAAAAGGCAAGAACATTTATTTGGTTAAAAAATAAAAAAATACTATTAGCATAGCAAGATTATTTTCAGCCTTTGGGGTTTTGTATTTTCCTTATTTGTTTAGTTCTCCACATGTAAGGGACATGGGTATTATAGTAAACTGTTCTGTACGAGGCATGTTCGCCAGCCGGAGTCTGTTGAAATCACGTGTTACACGATTTGTCATGTTGATTGCTTTCGGCGGTCTTTAATCAGTATAAGGCGTTGCTTCTTTAGAATTTCCATACGGTGTAGCATAACGTTCAATCTGTGTATGCACATCCAGGATGAGCAAAACAACTGTTACTATATTGAAATCCCCCATTTATCTAAAGAGCGCATACTCGTGTCTCTTCCAATGACTCAATTTAGTAATGTTAAGGTGACAAGTCTTCCAACGTTATTTTATAATTATAGTATATATGGTAAGATTTATGTTATATGTAAGTAAGCCCTATAAGTATGTCAAAAGAAATGTGATGTTGTGGAAATTATAGAAGACTTGTAAACGCGGGTAGTTCGCTATAAAAATGTTTATATGTGCCGTAGCCAATGGCACTGGTTCAATACATGCATAACAACAGGTTTGAATATAGATTTACTCAGAATATGCCGCAGCGTCGTGGCTGACGCGGTGTGTGGGAATGGACATCGCCAACGTTGTTGTCGCTTGTCTGCGTTTATCGCTGACAATCCTTGTCGCCGCCCATACTCGTCTTAATTGACATTGTCTTTGCAAAGACTGTCGCTAGCCTCGTTTTTATTGCAATTCGTCAGAAAACGAGAAATGGATTGGCACTGAATGTACTAGCAAATGTATTAGCAGAATTACCACCATGCCGCGGGTTCATGCATTCCATCATTGAGCGTATGAACCAATGGGTTTGATAACTCTCAGATAATTACTAGTTAGGATTGTAATTATACACTGCCGTCGTTTTTTCAATACCAATAATGACGTCTTCCAATTTACTATAATAATTATGCTATTGCTTACCACGGTTTGCCTCACGTCTCAGCAATTTATATGGCGATTATAATTACTTGCTCGTGTACTTCACACATCAGTATGTATTACGTCTGTGGGTGCACGCGTGCATGTACACACAAATGCGCGGGCACGTACACATACACACGCGCGCGCGTACACAAACACACACGCGCGCGCGTGCACGTACACACATGCACGCGCGCGGGCGCGTACACGCACATAGAAATAACATACATATGGGCAGCTACAAAGACGTAACATAAAAATAACATGTCATATAATTTAACTGTGAGATTTCACGATCTGCTCTTCCTCAGGCTGCAACAATAGCAGAAACCTCGGCGTCCACAACGGAGCGCACTAAAGGTGGTGAACAACAGTAGAGGGCGTCCATAGGCAGCAGGCCTGAATAAGCATCGAACAGAAATTAATTAAAAACACTCGCACTGTTACTTCGCTTACACAACATACACTTTATTCATGTTAAATAACTACAGATTCATGCTCTATGCTCCGCTCAAAACTTTTGCCAGCTCTATGATGCGAATTTCTGCAAAGTTGTCTGAACACATTGAAACACAAAAATGCCCAACCGGTCGCTGTGGCTACGCCACCTGACGGAATGTCACGAATACACAACAAGACCAATTTTACTTCTAATGCTTTCTAGACGTCCACGAGGCATCTAACTTGCGTGCATAATGATGCAAATTATTGCACTCTAATGCCGAATTTCGGCGGGAAAAAATGCCAAAAAAGGCCTTTAGAGACGAAATAGTGCACAACGGTGAACAATTTGCGGAGGCTTACTGTTGTATGCCTCCTAAAGGCAGGTATTCACTAACAAGGGCAATTGCGCGCACGTAGGCGTCCTACACGTCAATGTAAATATGATGTAACTGATGTTTTGGTAACGTAGCATGAAGTGTGTTAGTTTCGTTAAGAGCTCTTTGGTTTCGTGTACGGTGCGTACGTGCAATTGTTTTGAGTTTAGAGTATACGATCCGCTGCGTGCGCCGACGTTTTTTCATCTGTCCTGTAATCTCACGAAGAGAAGTCTCGTATATCTGAGGTATCGGAAGCTCACAATTATATGGGACCTTACTTAAATGTCATATATATATATTCCAATACATATATCCATGTGTGTTGTGTGTGTGTGTGTGTGTGTGGTGTGTGTGTGTGATGTGTGTGTGGTGTGTGTGTGTGTGTGTGTGTTGTGTAGTGTGTGTATGTGTTTGTTGTGTGTTGTGTGGTGTGTGTGGGTGGTGGTGTGTGTGTGTGTTAGTGTGTGTGTGTGTGTGTGTGTGTGTGTGTGTGTGTGTGTATGTGTGTGTGTGTATTTATTGTGTGTGCGTGTGCATGTGCGCGCGCGCGTGTGTGTGTGTGTTGGGGGGGGGGGGTGCATGTGTTTGTGCCGCGCGTGTGTCCGCGTAGATAGATATATTCATGATAACATCATATGTGTAAAGTAGATATGCACATATTACTTGTCTAGAGATTCAAACCACGGTCGTAAATACATGCGCGGATACCAGTAAAGTGGTTACAACCACGTCTATACGGTATAGTTTAAAAATAATACACACACTCCACTTCATACTCAATATGGTGGGGGCAGATATGTGAAAGAATTGTTTTGTGGTAATAGCACCAAAATTGGCGTATATGATATTAAGGATATACTAAAGGATTTCAGATATAGTGTCAAGTTGAATTTTTTCAGTAGTGTTTTTTGATTGGCAAAAATCTTATGGTGTAATCATTTCAGTGAAAATGCATATTTTAAGATAGGGCACAGGTTAATGCTAATATTCGGCTCCGATTCTCTTTATATATTTAGTTATTACGTGAAGCTCATTTAATCGCTAAAATCACTACACTGTTTTGTCGGGAACAATAGACAAGAACAAAAACTTCATTGTATATTTCATAAATTATCACAATATCGCATGTTCTCAGCATGTGCTTCGACCGCCATTACAGTTATATACCATATCATGTAAGCCAGCGCTGTTTATTCAGGACGTATAATACATAATATTTTACTAGGAAAAACAACAATTTTATTCAAAGCGTTTTGTGTCAAACACTGTAAAACTCGATCCTTTCTACACGTAAACATTTTATGCGCATATTGCAATTATACCAAATTTCTAGCACATGCCAGAACCATTCAACTACCAGGTACATACACTTGCTTGTAGTGCTTCTAATATTAATACAAAAATGCAGCACTTTGATAGTAACCTGACAGTTTTGGATCCATTTATTAACTAGTTCATAGACTAAACAACCTGTTAGAGTTGCATCTCAGAACTAGCATTAGCAAGTAACATATGGAGCATGTTTGCACATTAGCTGTGAGCATGAAGATATAACTACATGTTACGACTGTGCAGGTTCTTTTTTTAATAATCGCCTTAATCAATAGGAAACCTTCACCTTTGACTTTTTACAGCAGCATGAAATAGGGAATATTCAACTAAAATAATTCAATATATGAACATAACCAGGCAACGTTTAAAGGCATGATAGTTTATGCCTGCTGGAATACCTTTACTACGGTTTGCTAATAAAAGCTACCACAATGAAAACATCATGCAAATAAAAATCCGTAATCGATACTAATTTTTTTGATAGAAATGTACAGATAAGAATTTTTAATTAACATCATGTGAATGCCATAATTTACTTTGAATACAAAATCACACATATTGTCAAAAGGACCATTTTCCTGCCAGTGATGACGCATTAAAGTGAGTAAGTGGTAAAACCTTTTATGCTAGAGCCCGCATTCATAAATTAGACCGAATTATCGTTAATGGTTACATTATCATAAACTGCTGGTGAAAATACAGACATAAATTGATGCAAGATCTATTTCATCATGAGCATCATATTATAACACATGTAACTTTGTAAATTGCAAACACATCGTAGAAAAAGAGTACTTGCCTTTCTGTGTGAAACCAATAGAACAATGAATGTGCTAGATAAATATAGCATTACCAGTGTATAGAATATTCGCTGTATGTCAATGTATCCAAAAGCAAAAATTTCATACTACTATGCAGAAAAAAACATGGCCCAAAAAAATGATAAATTTCTCAAGTTTCATCTAGCAACAAATACCGTCACCATGTTGAAGTTGAAAGCAGACAGACTATAGCAAGGAGTGAAACCACACAGCATATCCACATGTAACTATTGCTATATATAGCCAATCTACTCACCTGAACATATTTTGACAGACATAACACATTTTCCTAATAATTACAGTATAAAATCATACAATAAAGATGAAGAACGTGTGCAGGATTTAAATACCACGTTTACTCCTTCATTGCAGTATAACCAGGGAGTATGCTTTTTTAAATAACGTTATCTAGCTTATAAACGTGTGATTGGTAAAGATATGCAATAATTATCATCAAGATGAATACTCGGAGAAATTTCGGAAAAAGTAGGTGGGGGGGAAGGGTTATCATGCAGTAATACTTTCAACACACTCATGACTCTGCCGAAGCAGCTAGAGCCGTTCTTGGGAGAGCTGGGCAGGCTTTGCTTCTGCAGCGCTGTCCGGCGCGTCTTCTTCCTCTATACACACAAACAACACCTGAAGATGTTAATGAAGAGCCTCACATGTTCGTAAGTTCCTCGCCGTTTCCAGTTCCAGAGGTCGCAAGGTCAAGTTTGCAAGTAGTGTCTACGAGTGTTTACGAAGGAACGTTGTGTATCGATAGCCTGAAGAATTCATTAGCTATGTAGAAACTGGTTCCATTGACCGTCGGCTTCAGAAAGAACACTTGTGAAAAGCCGTGGGGATGATCAGTGTCCGTCTGGCAAAAATTAACAGTAATCAAGAATAGGGATGAGCACGTCCACCTATAAATACGGCATTGATAAATCTGCTGGCTGGATACATAAAGAGTGTCTATGGGATGCATTTTAGCAGTCTGTGCTACCTGCTTGCGTCCTTATGTGATTCATACTCACATGTACATCTTAGTCTTTTGCATATTTACTATCGCAATGCATCAATAAATTATCAAAGCACGTCTGTTTAAAATGGTCATTTTCATTCATAATTGTGCCTGTATCATATTTTTAGCAAAAAGGTTTTTTATAAGCAAACATTTCCAATTATATAGTGGAAGACATTAGGGAAATGAGGTTCACATTATGAAATGCTTGTTGTTATGCATCTTTTAACACTGCATCCCATTTTTAACTTAGCAGATTGTTGTATAAGTTTATATTTTTTATGAAACAATCTTATAGGTGAGGAACTGTACTTAAGGAGTAGTCTGTGTGTGTGTGTGTATGTGCGTGCATGCGTAAGTACGTCTGTGGAAGCATGTATGTAATACATACCTTAAGCTGTCCAACCACTAATACAGAAACACCACCATCATATGTTGGCTGACAGTCAATTGTAGTCAAACTATGCACAATACTTTGAAATGGTAAATTCTAAAAAGAAAGAAGATATATACTATTAAAATTCATCATTATCATACTGATAACACCATGCACAATCATGAGCTTGTACATACATGTGTATGTGTATGGTAGCATAACCTGATGACCACATCATAGTGGTTAATTACTAGTTTGCAGTACACTACAAGAGTGACAAATTCTGCCACAGTTATACTCACTGTTATTTTTTCCAAGATTGCTGTTGTTCCTTGCATTTGAGCACCTTCAAATGTCATCATAGAATCTGCAGTCTGGAAGATCAAATCAGTTATTAGTAGATCAAACACATACTGGTGACTATTGAAAATGCTATAGCAAACCATTAGACAAAAATGTACATTAAAAACCATCAAAATTATGGTTCGATATTAAAGGCAGCAAGCAGCAGTTTTGATGCACACAATGGTCAGTTTGATGCACAATAACCACAACGTTCTACATTAAAAATGGCAGCTTGAAAACTTTTTAGTTTTTATGTGAAAATGACGGGTGATACTCCATTAGGAGTGTTCCCAACTTTAATGTCATTAATGGTCATTATAATAACATATATATATATGGTCATGGTCATATATTAGTTTGTGGTTTAATGTCATTTAGGTTAGGGTTAGGGTTAGGGTTAGGGTTAAGATTATCAATCATTAATCATTAATCATTAATGATATCAAAGTTGGGAACACTCCTAATGGAGCGTTAGCCAAAATGACTACAATAAGGGAATTATTTGCAGTTTGAAACAGCATCGCTACTCAAAAGCAAACTACAAATCGCAGTTTGAAACACATATTTAAATACATCAACCTTTTATCTAACTTGGTGGAAAATTTTACCATCACATTTATCTGCAAGTCAGTGAATTATTCCTGCGTGGTATAGTGTGGTTCATGGTGACCATGCAATGTATGTATGTGACAGATCAGATCAATTTCTTTGACTTACAAGGGATTGCAACTATATTCCCATGCATAATGCACTCACCCAGAGATTTAAATGGTTTTCATCTTATGCTAATTGTCACATGAACTGTGACAACAGTTCCAAACTTCCATTTTCAACAAGCATATATACAGCCCTGTGGCAAAGAATGGGCTGAACATTGCAGCTAACATATTTATGTAGTCCTAGTAAACAGCCACATTATGAACCCATATTTCAATGAATAGCAGTGCCTGAGTGATTCACACATATATGCATGTATGTGTATTAATCTTCTGAATACTTAATCCCAGAACAGTTAAGCTTATGCAAAAGATAATCTGTTATAAGTTCATGATCATGGGCCCGTTATCAGAAACAAAATTAGTCTTAACATTAGTCTTAACATTAACTTTTTCTCTTAGACCGTCGACAGAAACACTGCGAAGTTACCTGAATGAAAAATTGTAGCAGATTTCCTGATAACAATACGAAACAAAGTGCTGTCGACGGTCTACGAGAAAATGTTATTGTTAAGACTAATGTTAAGACTAATTTTGTTTCTGACAACGGGCTCCTGGTTCTTCAAGTAACATTACTGCATGCTTTTAAAATGCAATACAACTCCTACAATGACGGTTGCAGCACAATTTTTGCGGCGCCAGCAAAATCACACAATTTCATCAACACACAGCAGATCAAAGCATTTTATAGTTATTAATTTAATAGAAGAAAACTCCAATAGTAGTAGTACCTAATATTTCACTATTAGGTTTAGATGTAATTTGTGTGTATTTATGCTAAACAGAAAATCTTTGCAATAAATAGTGGTTACTTAAAAATAGCATTAGTTTTATGATCCGCTTCAGGGTTCTCCAAGCTTTTTCATGATAGCATGGGGGTGCTGCTCAGTGCTAGGGGGTTCCGGGGGCATGCCCCACAGAAAATGTTTGAATTGTAGAAGCTCTGAGATGCAATCTGGGACACTCTGTGTGTAAATTTGAAGCACTCCATGTGGGGTGAAAATGCTTGTTTTGAATGGGCAAAGCCTTTGGAAAATTCAAAATAATAATGGAATAAAAATACCAAAATGTAGGGGTGAACTTGCTGGTTTGCTGGTTCCAAATCGAGCTCACTTCTCATAAATCAGAAAACCTGACATATACCTGTGTTGGAAATAGCAGCTGGTCCCATAGTCCCTGACTGGTAACTTTTCAGCAGGGCTGGCTACTTTTGGAGCTGGACTGGCTAATTTTCACGAAAATTACTGTACAGCTTATATTGCGGATTTAGAAATCTTTGGCAAGTGTACCAGTCTACTCTACCTCGTGTTAGACTGGGTTACCTGCCCTGTAATAATGCTGTTGGAAATTAATTCACGATTTAATTTACGATTAAGATTTCTTGATGAGCTAAAAAACACTCGGATTTGAAGTATGAAAATGAACATTATTGTTCCAGCTAGCCTACACCAGTTGGTTGGGATTGATTGTCAGTTCAGATGCAAAATATTGAAAGCAAAAGGTTATACACCATAGATTAATTGGGTACTATAACATGCGTATATAAGATAGCCGAGTTGGTTTAGAGTTAGTGTTAGGGTTAGGTTAGGGTTGGGTTAGGGTTAGGGTTAGGGATAGGATGACTGTTTGTACTTGTATGTGGGTCTGCCGTACCCATAGCCTCAAGACATTAAGATACGGCTGCCGTACCCGTAGCCTCTGCGTATAAACAACGTGTATTAATTGTTTAAACTTCTTGTGTATACATCAGCATGGTGGCTATGATATTTAGAGTGGCGGGTGCATTTTAGGATGGCGGGGCTCGACGATAGCCTGGCGAGCCGCCAGGCTATAAGTGCTCTTGGAGAACCCTGAGCTCCTTGTCTAAAACATGCAAATTAAAAATTTAATTGCACAACTTTACAGCACAGCTGTATGGTGTCATAACTGGCTCATTATTGTTGATTTGAAATGCTTAAAAACAACAGTGGATGTCTGATACTATGGATTATCCAAGAAGTATGATACCATACTGGAATTTGAGGGACTAATGATCGTCAAAGGACTTGATAGTTGACATTGCAAACAAACATTTCTGTTGACCTATGATGCAATTTTCTGTAATTCCTTGGTTTCAGTTAATATATCAGTTTACAGATTTGACGGTGTTTTAAAGACATGATAACAGGCATTCAGGGTGCGAAATTAACGAGAGTCCGGAGTCAAATACTCCCCGATTTATTGTCGGACTCCCTGATTTTAAATAATATTATGCAGGAGTCCGTGTGACTCCCTGAAAATTCTGCCATTCTAACTAGTTCGTTCCAGAGCACGGCCTCGCGGAATTACCGTATTTTTTCAGTAAAAGTCCAAAGAAAATTTGGCACATGTGCAACCGCATGAATCTTAAAAATAAGCACATGCGTTATTGTTAATATCTTTAATTTTGAACTTCAGACTGCGGACTCCCTCATTTTGCTGCGGACTCCCTCTTTTTGAGGGTAGGGAGTCCGTTGGACTCCCGTGTTCAAAAGTTAATTTCTACTCCTGGGCATGAAATGAAGATTGCTGTTAAATGTCAGATTGCATCCTTACTAAAAACCAGCATACGGTGAAACAATGCCTATCAAGGCGACAAGGCATCTGATGCCAGTTTCATGAGTTTGTGATGATGCCAGCTTCTATTTTGTTGTGTTCAAAGTAAAAACAAAAATACATCTGATCGTACTACTTCAAGTACTTGTGGCATGTGTCGACTGGTGTGATGTGTTGCAATGAAATCAGCCTCATGGGTTCAAGGATAGAGATGATGTCCAGTATGGTGATTGGATAGGATGATGTTAGTTGATAAGATAGGACTGGACATCTTCTCTATCCATGAGCCGCATCATGTAACGTGACTCGTGAGTGGGTGTAACTGCAAAATGAAAATGAACCATACAATCCCTGTGCGCATTGTTAATGACACGTTCTACAGAAAAATAAAGGATCGCATTGTAGCTCTATTTAACAGGGTAACTTCGCTAGGTAGACAGTGTTTTTGAGTGTTTAGCAGAACTACTCGGTACTCAACTCGCAGTAATGGCGCTACTGTACATACTGTACAGTGTGAGTGTACTGCAGCAGTACCTACGTTAGTCTTCTCTCACATACAGTACAAGGATACTTACGTATAGACCGGCAAGCTGAGGACGTGTGGCCACATTGTCGAACAGTGTGTAAAACTGTTGGACAAATGCATTGCCTATTTCGTTAAATTTCGGATTCATGTCTGAAATTAGCCTTACTTTTTTCAAATAAATACACACTATTCTAAAAGTACACACCGCCAAGCGGCTTAGTCTCGCCCTCTGTGTCCACTTCGAGAAATTATTTTCGGCAAATTAATTTACTTTCTTAGTTATGTAACAACATATGAACATAAACTAACAAAATATGCTTATATTTTAAAATTGTGTAGCAATAAAACTTAGGTATATATAGATTTCAATTAAATTTAAGAAGTACTGTGCTTTACTCTTTTGCCATTTTTGGTCCTCAGATGGCAGCATAGTTTGCTATGGAGAGACTCAGAGCGAATACGGCAGCCGTAAGAAAGATGTAACGAAAAAACATGAATGAAAAGAATATGATGAAGCTTTTCTGGTGTATAATTTTTATTATGGTTATTCCCTCAATATCAACAGCATCTACTGTTACAGACGTTTCTCAGGATGTGTATGGACGTGGAATAAATGGCCTCATAGCCGCGTTTGGCGATTTTAATGCCGATAAACTCACAGATGTGTTTCTAATAAAAGATTCAGGCAAGTGTTGAAGTGATACTCTACACTACTCTATCCTATCTCCATTGTTGCCACATGGGCTGTAGTACTAGAGCTAGTGATAGTCATGTCATGATAGCATGCCTACCTGACATACATGATCATGGTATACTATATACTGTTCTCAGGTACCTGCCAACTGATTTTAAGAGAGCGGGTTTAACCCCGGTTAGGCTGATAGTGATAGAGTCGCCCAGAGACTGATACAGTGATAGTACTGATAGAGGCTGGTAGAGTCGGTTAGGATAGGGTCTATGTCCCCCAGGTTACTGCCGGAACGTACCCTGGGTACGGTCCGGTATACCGGAACGTACCCTGGTAACTATATCTAGCTGATATGGTTAGGGTTAGTGTTAGGGTTAGTGTTAGGGTTAGGTTTAGGGATCGAGTAGGCGTAGGCGACTCCCTAGACTCGTTAGTGGAGTAGGCGAGGTACGGTCCGGCATATTAGATAGTAGTATTTAGTACCAGGGTACATTCCGGTATACCGGACTGTACCTAGGGTACCGTACGTTCCGGCAGTACCCTGGGGGACATAGACCCTATCAGCCCCGGTTAGGCCACTGTGTGACGCAGTCGCGTGCTTAATACTAAGTAATACTATAGTAATAGTAATAACATGCACCCGGAGACAAATTTATGAAAAAAGATGGTACAAAATGAAAATTGTGAAATCTGTATTGACACATTACAGTGTTGGTTACAGATCGAGTGGTTAGGCTTCGTACACTGTCCACTGAAGCCTGAAGGCTGTGAGTTCAAACCCCGGCTGGGGCAGTGAATTTTCTCAAGGTGTAAAAACCTGGCTCTCAACATTGGAGATTGAATCTCCCGTGGCTCGGATGACCACGTAAAATGGCGTTCCCGTCTCCAGTAATACTAATTAAGGCCAATGGGGATCGACGTAAAAAAACCACTGAGGGCGCAAAAAAACTCTGGCTGTGATCACCCTCAGTGCCATTCGGCTAAAGGCTAACTATCTGGCTTTACCCAAGCTATAGGTCACACCCATGGCTATAGCTATAGCCCTGCGTTATTATCCACGTAACCGTGGGCTACGCAGTAAACTATCCAGATCCAGATTACAAACGTGCTCTCTGTACGCTGTCTGAGATCTGTACGCTATCTGAGATCTGTACGCTATCTGAGGTCTGCGCGTTATGTGAGATCTGTATGCTGTGTGAGATATGTACGCTATCTGAGATCTGTATGCAGTCTGAGATCTGTACACTGTGTGAGATCTGTACGCTGTCTGAGATCTGTACACTGCATGAGATCTGAATGCTATCTGAGATCTGTAAACTGTGTGAGATCTGTACGCTATCTGAGATCTGTACACTGTCTGAGATCTGTACACTGTCTGATATCTGTATGCTGTCTGAGATCTCTACACTGTCTGAGATCTGTACACTGTCTGAGATCTGGACACTGTCTCATATCTGTATGCTGTCTGAGATCTGTATCTGACACAGGCTAGAGACTCACAAACACACGGGCAGATCACCAGATTTAGATGTATGCGTGTGCAACGCAGCAACAGTAATAGCCACGTGCGAGTGTAAAACAATTTTGATTTCTTTTCAAAATTGTGGAAAGCTGTAGGATAGGCAGTTAAAATCAGTAGTCGGTAGGCAGTAGTCAGCTTCTAGGTTACTGCACGAATCGGTAGGGTTGGCAGGTATGTTATATGCCCATTACACGCAATGCGATGTTGGAGTGCTCTCACACTGCTTTTTTTGCTTTTAAGTATTTTTAATCAGAAAGTTCAAAGTCACCAGTGCTGCATTAATGCCCACACCCTTCACACAGTTTGCAATTGGCTTGGATTGAACAGCTGACAGTGTTACGAATGTGGTATACGTAATCCACTATTTATGATGTGGGTGCTTAGATTGCAGCACCTTAAAGTCAACCGTGATTACGGTCATTACATGTGAATAACAGTGAGCGTGGATATTACCTTTTTGTAACCTAGCTTATAAATGTCTCAAACATGGTGTAAATTATCACGACATTTATGTTAGTAATTATTATATTATGTAAGTCACAATTTATATTGTCCATACTCATTTTCTGTTATAGGCAAAACTGTTGAAATTCTTCTGGCTGATAAAGTAGCCCCACTTCTGGTGAGCTCTTCCCTTGTGATAAAAGCAGAGTAAGTACAAAAATACTGAACATGAATAGTGAAATATGCATACATGTGGCTGTGATGGTTATAATCCCTATCACAACAAGAATAGAACAAGACTGAGTAAGGCATAAAGTTCTTATTGGTTAAGGAGTTAGATTTTGACATTGCAACAATAATTATAATGGTGATATAAATATTTTGCAATTGAATCAAATGGTAAAAGTTTATTAGTAAGAATTTCTAATGAAAGTAAAGATATATAGCGCCACTTGTACATTTTATGTTTCTTTTGTAGAGAAACTGCTGTGTTTACTTGAGTCTGATTGCACATTTACAACTTTCTTTTGCAGGGAGAATGCTCTTTTTACTTCTGTTGTGCCGGGTGACTTTGATGGGGATTCAAAAATGGATGTTCTAGTCACACTAGTACCAGAACATCATCAGACCAAGAATCCACCTGTTAATGTCAGCATATATTGGGGCAACCTTATTTCCATTGGTAATTGATTACATTTTCATAAATCCTGTATTATGGTGTTGATGCTGGTAATTGCTACAGTAAAAGCATTGAAAGCTATACTGTTAAGGTCAGTATATGTAGTCATGATAAAGTTTGTATTGATATATATATATATATATAATACAATAATATATATATAGATCAGGAGTAGATAATAGGGAGGAGTGTGACATTCAATAAACAAAGGGAAATTCGTCATTTACTAGCCTTATAATACCTACGATTTACTACGCGTAACTCATCCAACTTGAGCTCAAATCGGACACAGTACATTCGCCAATCATCGTGCGAAATCGTCGTTCCTCGTAGACACCCGAATCCGGAGATACAGCCTAAAACGTACGACACGTTCTCCATTCTTTGGCCATCATCCAACGCCATTGCGCGCCTATAATTCAGACAAAAGGCAGCAACACTGCCGCGCAGTCGCTGTGTTTGCTCTCTCGGGTAGCTGAATGTGGCGTTGTGCTCGCGGGGAGATTGGAGATCGACGCAACACTCGACGAGCTAATCATGCGTTGGCGTGCTGTGCGTGAAGGCATGCCAGCTATGTACAAAGGTGGCCTGTGTAGTTGTGTACCGGGTCAAAGGTTATCTCGCGAGTGTGATGCCTAATCTCCAACCCACGCCACATGCCTTGCTCAGTTAGCAATAGCGCGTTAGGTAGCTGCCTTTTGTTTGAATATAGGCGCGCAATGGCGTTGGATTGATGGCAAAGAACGGAGAATCGTGTCGTACGTTTTAGGCTGTATTCTCCGGATTGCGGGTGTCTACGAGGAAACGATTTCGCACGATGATTGGCGAATGTACTGTGTCTGATTTGAGCTCAAGTTGGATGAGTTACGCGTAGTAAATCGTAGGTATTATAAGACTAGTAAATGACGAATTTCCCTTGTTTATTGATGTCACACTCCTCCCTATTATCTACTCCTGATATATATATATAAATATATATATATATATATACATACATATAAGCATGAATTATATAGCCATTTCACTTTTGCTACAATATGCTAAAGGCTTATAGAAATGTATAAATTTAAATGTTTACAAACTTTTTTTATAGATGGGAATCCAATGAAACTGGAAGACCAGCTAAGAGATCAACCACTAGTCATGGAGTAAGGTTAATTTGCATTACTTATACATTATGTATCCAAATAAAATTACATATTTTAAATTTGGAAAATTGACCAACAATGTTTTGCCAATAATAATTTAAATATACATTTAGGTAAAATGTGAATTAAAAAATTATATCAATTTACATTTCAGTTATGATGCAGACATGATTCCTGATCTTTATGGTGAGAAGAGCACTGGAGGTCGGTTTCATTGGATTTATAGGTTTGTGATCATATCTACTATTTATTGGCTCTGTTTAATAATATCATCGTAGCACATGCATCTTTTAGTTAGCCTCACATCCCCTACATTTGTGTCAGTCAGATAAATTCAAATTCAGAAGGTTTGCAGGTGCTCACGAAAGTGAATGATATAGTCCTGCCTTTATTGTGCACAGTACCTTTGATGCTAAACATTGATTTTACTCTTGTGTTACTAAGTGTGATAACTTCTTGTATATTTTAGAACACGGAGCAAGTTTGTGGCTGAACACATCAAAAACTCTACCTTACATACTCACCCCCTCACATTTCCTCACTCGTGTGCTTTTGTGGATCTCAACAGTGACTTCACTGCTGGTAGGTATTAGGTTATCTATTAGTGGGTTTATCGTAGTGGCCCTAGACTAGTGTGGGCCTAGGTTGATTGTAGATGTGTGTATCTTGGTATTGCTGGTTGACAGAAGTTCTAATTGACCATTAAGAATATAATATCCTCTTGTCTTGTGTGATTACAGACTTGTTTGTAACAACAATGGATGGTGATAAATACATATTTGAAGTTTGGTACAACATGGTAAGTGTATTCATAAGTGTCTCATAAGTGTATCATAAGTGTATTCATAAGTGTCTCATTATTCTTAGAGCAGTTTGAAACTAGCATGACAAAAATGTGCATCTATAACAGTGTTTCCGCTCGTCGTTCAGATTGCAGAATGGTATGTATTTTATATATTTTTCCCCTTTTTTGATTTCAGAATGGAGTCTTGAGTTTTCAATACAACTATAGCTTCGATGCAAGTGTGCATTATGACCATGTTGGGCAGTCTAGTTTTGCTGATATTGGTTAGTATTGTTCATAGGGTCTATGTCTCCCAGGGTACTGCCAGAACGTACCCTGGTCACTATTTGATATGGTTAGGGTTAGGATTAGGGTTAGGGTTAGAGAGTAGGCGTAGGTGACTCCCTAGACTCGTTAGTGGAGGAGGCGAGGTACGGTCCGGCATATTAGATAGTACCAGGGTACGTTCCGGTATACCGGACCGTACCCAGTGTACGTTCCGGCAGTACCCTGGGCAACATAGACTCTCTCAGCATTAGTATTGTTAATGGCACAAGAGAGTATTTAGTAATTTTCTCTTAAGTTCTCTTACTTCCTCTTAATTTGTTGCACCATTTAGAAAATTTGTGTGTGTATTTTAATATATATATTATTCATATTTTACACTTCATGTAGAGACTGTACTTTTCATTAACACAGATGGTGATGGTAATCTGGAGCACATTCTACCTGTGTGTGGCCTAGCTTTCTGTAAAGACAGTGCCATCTATGTTTTCTCTTTTGCAAATTTGTCAGTAAGTACCAATTAAGATTGCTGATGTGTGAACTTAACTGGATCACACATTTATCATAAATAAGGATGAATGGTATCAAGGATTTGACGGCTCTAACCGCATAAAATTCTTATATTTAAGGACTAGTATTTAAAAAAAGAAACCCTACCCAATATTTCTCTGTGAGCCAGTTGATCTTTTGTAAACATTTAACCACAAACAATTTCATGGGTCTAGCATAAAGCTAATAAGGCTATCATGTTGTGGTGTTTTCAGGTTTAGAAAAGCAATATTATTACTGTTACGCATAGACGAGCTCATAGTAAATAGTAATTAATAGTCGAGAAACTTATTGGTAGGCATTCTACATGTGCAATACTGTGAAGGATGTTGTGTGCTATCCATTCCTGGTGACAGATAGGTCTGCCAATGTTATCCACAGTCAGGTCTGTGATAAGTGTGTAGCTTCCTTACATTGTTGCTGCAGCATAGCATTGCCAGGGACGTTGAAGACCAGGTACTGTTTGTCACTGGTGCACAGAGAATGAATGCACATCTGCAACTTGTTCGTTTCATTTTTTGTTGGAGTTCGGTTTGCATCTTGTGCTGCCCAGTTGTCTATGAAAGAAAACCATGCATCTTAAATCCTAAATCCTGCTCCTCAGGATGCATGTAATTATTCTACAAAGTTTAACATCACAGACTTAAATCCACTGCGATGGAGATTATACTAGGTGCAAATGTTGCAAAATAGCTGAATGTTGAATAAAGTTGCCATTACGTTTATGTACCTAGAACATTTGTCAGGAGCGTAACCTGTTACTGTGCCAGTGCATTACTGCTGCTATAGTGCATATGTTCATAGTGTACTATGGCTAGTGCAATGGCATTTCCTGTACCTGTGCAAGTGAATTTAAACTGACATTATTGTAATATACTGGTAAGGATCATGCTAGAGAAAGTGAGATACTTTGGACAACTGTAATGAGAAATGTGTCAGTAACCACGAGTTTTTTTAATCATTTTTGGGGCAAGGGATTTAATCTCCTTGCACTTATAAAGGTAGTTAAGTACGTGGCTTAAGCTGAATTGAGTAGAAATGTTTTATCAAGCACTCATACTGTATAAAATAGTATCAAATAAATATTTGCACTCATGTATAAAGAATATATAAGCAAGCGACATATAATGAATACGAATGTTATCAATTTACATTGTCTACATTACTTTTACGTTTAATTGGTTATGAGCATCTTGCACCATCTATGTGAATGAGACAATCACTGGCATGTAAAGTGGCAGTAATAATATGTGAATGCGAATAGGGTGGATTGCAGTTTACTCATCGCAACTTGATCTCTAATGTTTATAATAAATATAGGCATGAGTTGTATAGTATGATAAAGTACTATTTATAATACAATAATAGCATGAATATATGCACAGCTATATGTATAGGATATACATATATTTTCATGCTAATAGTTACTACCAACACAATGCTATGTCAGTTAAATTAGTATATAGTATATTATGTCAGTTATTTTTCAGTTTCTATGACAATTACTTACTCTTTTACTCTGTGTCCAATTTGGAATCTGAAAATATAATTTGAAGAATTGTGCTGTGATGGGTTTGGATAACCATAAAGCTATTAAAGCCTTGAAAATGTATGTGATATGCTCTGCATATACGCTCTTTGATAGACAATTAATTCTTTCCAATTATTCTACTCTAGTGGACACCATTGGTGTCAGAGTTCAACAAGGGTAAAGAGGCTTGGGGCTTTGCCAGGCCCACTGAACGATCAACTGGAGGAATGACCCTCAGGTTTGGAGACTTCAACTTGGATGGATATCCAGATGCTGTGACAATCCTGCAAAGTGAGATTGATGGGTGAGTGATTAGTGAGTTTGAGTTTCTCTAATAAACGAACTGTATTGCTAGATACTATGTAGACATCTATGCTGACATGTGGTGATGAATATAAATTGATATATGCTTATGTGAATGTAATATGTGATTACCTTGAGTATAGTGATCTCTATGTGTGCATGTGTGCCTCAAACTTAATTGGTATGCCGGACTGGAGGTTACCGTAGAAGGATACACCTGAAGTATCGTAGATGTGCATGATCTGTGCTATGGGATCGTTTTCCTGTTTAATGACTAGGTGTTGAGCAGCAGACAGATATAAGTCATTGCAATTCACAATGCCATGATTACTCGGTACCTTGTTTCAGAGAACTTGTTCAGCGAGCAGTGCTGCTGCTGAATGTTGAGTGCAGTAGCTCAGTGAGCAAATGCCAGCCAGTGGGGAGGACTCTCGAAGTGCAATGGGACATGAATCCTTTGATCAGCATTGACAGACCAGTCCTAGTTGCTTTCTATGACATATACGAAGACGTAAGTAATGTGGAGAGTTCTGATAATAAGCCGGAACTGCAGATAAAGATGACAGGAAGAATGTTTTATATATTGCAACGAGAAACGATGTAATTACAATGTAGTTCGTATTGAGAAACGATTTGGAGACTATTTCATTATTTGCTGTTTAGGCAAATAGGTATGAGTTAGGTGTGGTGTCAGTTCATCTGGTTATGATTTGTTATAGGGTGTGTTGGATATCTTGGTGGCAAATCATCAGTCATCTGAGGATAAGCCTGCACAGCTGCATGCATTGCTGAATGTCCTCACAGAAGATGCTTGTTTTCTCAAGGTTATAGGTACGTTGCATCCCTTTCTTGCAGGTCAAAATCCAGTTCACACGTATAGGAATTGTCAGACGCGTTTTCACTTGAAATGTCGCTCGTCATATTGGAAGAACTTACCTGCAGTTTAACCAGCGCAAAAGGTATTGCTTGTACTGTTTAGTAACCCATTTATTTTATTCCCAGTTCTGAGTGGGATGTGTAGGGACTGCCTACCTGGCTACAAAGTTGTAAGTTTCTGTATTATTGTATATAAAAGTGTACAGTGTCATTTAAACGAAATCTGGTCTATTATTGGTTTCAGCTAGTGGTTGCCTTGAGTTATTCATAAGAAGTTGCCTTAATTCATATTATAGAAATAATTTCTGCACAACACAACCCACTGATAATATGTATATTAATTGTTGCATGTTATTATTCAATATGCAAAAGTTTGTGATATTGCTATTTACAACATGGAAAATGTTTATTTCTATTGCGTATACTGGATATGTAGCCTTATGGAGTCAACCAGGCAGGCCCAGTGATAAAGTACGACACACGAAGGCCAGACGGATCTCTACAGACTAGTCGAGGTAACTTACCTACTATATGATGTATATTGCTTGCCATTACAGCCTTTCTGGGATTTCTCGTGATGTAGATTACATTTAAACAGGTCACATTATAAGTCTGGTGTAAAAATAAAAAATAAATATTCCATTGCCCCTATTTTCTAAGGTAGTTGAGCCTGTTTGAGTTGATATTTGCTGTAACTCAATTCTAATTTTGCTACAGCAACACAGCTGTCACAGTCTGCACACTTCGCTCTACAGTTGCCATACACGGTGTTTGGACTGGGGCAAACACCCAACTTTGTTGACACGATACGTGTTGGAATCCCACATCCTCAAGGCGAGGTAAACAGTTGCTCCTAGTACAGTCTGTCCACCAGTTTTACAATCCCATCCAGTATTATACTTTGCCGAGAAGCACAGAAAAGGCTTTCTGAAATAATGCATTATCTGTGATGTTCAAGTATAAGTTGATTGCATGAGCTGTGTGGACAGTCACGGACAATGTCTATTTAGATGTGCAATTGAACTACGTGCATATGCTAACTTTAAAAATATGCTTGGAATTACAACTAAACAACAGTACCAAGTACCACCTTTTTACCAGTTTATACGCATTAATTATAAACCTGATCATTATATACCTGATATGGTTGTTACATAGTAGATTTATGTTCAGTTCCAGGTGTTTTTTAATCTGGTGATTATACTGTCTTTGTCTTGAACCTTAGGCATCACAATAGAAAAATCTATATCTGTTACACCTTTATGTTCTTGTAGGATGTGAGGCAGCATGAGTGGACCACGATCATTCCTAATTCTCAAGTCATCATCATTCCTCATCCAAATAGCAATGCAGAGTAGTAAGTTTTCTCTTTAGTGGACGTCTTCATGCTCTTTTAATTAACTGTGTGTAATATCTTTGAGATTATTTGAATAAGTAATATTTGATCTTGTGGGAGATGAATCAGTAATGCTGTAGGGAATGTTGTGCTAAGCTGTGTAATCTAATCTATTAGAACACAAATATATCCTACAAATATATAATGGAAGTCAATGGGGCAACATGATCTGAATTATGGCTTTCCACATTACGAGTGTCTTTTTCTGGAATGCATTAACTTTCATCAAACGGTGGTATTGCTGTACTAATATCCGCCAAATGCTAATTGGGTAGACTCCTTTTAGCATGGAGAAATTATGTTAGTCCCAATTTGTTACATAGAGTTTAATAACTGTGTAGTACCCACCCAAGTAAACTTGTAGTATCTTTTATTACGTTTTGCTATTCGTCTGTACCTTAACTAGCTGATGTGTCTCATTTATAAACTTTAATTCCTGTTTTTTCCCTTATATCGTAAATTATGTAGTGATATATATATGTATATATATCAGGAGATTCTACGTATTTATTTATTTATTCATTCGTATTTTCAGCTGGGTAATCAAGCTGTTCGTGACTCCAAGTGAGCTGGTATTGATAACAGGTGCGTTACTGCTTGGCATCTGTGGATTCATTGCTGGCATCATTGGTGTGCTCCACTGGAGGGAAAAGGTAATAGACGAATGCTATTTTTGGTCTATTAATAACTATAATTGATTTTGAACAATTAGAATAGAATGTATCAGATGGGGTAGGAATGGAAAATCACAAAGCATATATGAAAGCAATAATTTCATTTATAATACAGTAGTAAATTTACATATTTACCAAATCATTCCCAACTTCAGATTTCATCTTTCTGCAGTTTACCTTGCCTTAGGTGTGATTTAACATGCTTTGTAAATTCAGAAAGCTTGCATTTTGGGAGACTTGGCAGTCATGCACAAGTTTTATAGTTTGTCTCATTCTTGTCTAATAGCTCGAAAGTGGTCATAGCATCTAGACTAGCATGTAATAATGCGTTTTTATTATAATGATAAAAAGTGATCACTTCTAAAGTAAATGTGTGCGCCATGACTGACGTATAGTGTCACATTTACATTGAACTTTAGTGTCACCAACATCCGTGTCTTTTATGCAGTCAGTTATTTCTCAAGACCGGGTTTACTATTACTAATACCAATTATTGCATATAGGTTGCAGATCGGAAGGAGAGGCTGCAGGAAGCTCATCGCTTTCACTTTGATGCCATGTGAGACCACACATTAATTTATTGCATTTGTTAAAATTGCATTTAGTGAAAGAATTGTCAAACGGATTTAGGAAAATTTAAATTGTAAACCAAGTAGAGATCTTCCTAGTGAATATATTACCAACTACACCATTGGTTTCACAGATCAATCAACCTGACCGTAACAGCATGGTGTTATTACACTGTTGTTGTTGTTGTTATAAGGCTTCAGATAATACTGAACAAAGTCCACTATTAATCATCTTTATATTTCTGTCCTGTTATGCTTGTTTGAATAGATGAGTACACTGAGCGTACACAGGGTACCAAAGCTGTTACTGGGCAGTATTTTTATATGGTGTACATGTGAAAAAATCAGATGCAGGTAATAGTGTATTATAATAATGATATTGTTTCTATATTATAATTCACTATTCTAACTGAATTGGCATTGATGTGATATTTATATATATATAAGTGTAATGTAACCTTTGTATTAAATCCTTCCCGCGCCTTCATACGCAATAGTGTACAGCTACAGGCGCATAGGGCGGTGCCTATCTCCGTTTCTGTAACCCTGGGGCCCCGCAGCTGCTTTCACAGTAAATGCTACAGTAGGGGGTTAGTCCACTGTAGCACTGCGAGTAACCTTTGTATATCTGTTCTAAAAAAACAGTGAACTTCAGCTATGCTATTTACGAATATTTCTTTGAGATGTTGAGACATTTTCACAAGCTGACTAGCTGGAAAATTTCAGAAGTAGATATTAGGGAATTCCCTATTATCTACTTCTGAAAATATCAAGAGCACATCATTTATTGATACTAGTTGATGCTGCGATACAGAGTGGACATCATCAACGTTTTCACGTGCAAAGTGCATGACTCAGGACTAAGGAATTGATTAGATCTCATTGTTGTTAGTTAAAATAACGAGCAATTCATTTACGTTCACGTTATTATTATCTCGGTAAATTAAACGCATGTGAATATATAACATAATATAAAGTGATTGGATTATGTTTGGTAATTTGGTTATATATGTCGCATAAAAAATTGCACGCCTTGAATATGAAACTATGGAATCTCTTCTGTACTATTCATGATTGTAAGTTTTATAGATACTGTTATTCGTTATATTCTAATTGGATAAAAGCAAATAAATTGAAAAGTTTATTAGTCACACATAATAGTTAACGAAAACCGTTGCCCAAGAGCCTGCTTTTAAATATGTGTGAAGAATTCCCTAGAATTGCATGTCTGGATTTGTTATAGTTGCCAGTTAAAAGCATATAATGGAGTACATGCTGGCAAGTCCATTACATGATGCATAGTAACAGTACGAGAGTATTATACACGTATAATACGTGTATAAGGCTTAACAAACGTACATCATGCAGCTTGGTTGCAGGATCAGTTTTTATAGCCAACGGTATGAAATACCTTACTTTGTATCAGCTAGGTGGTGCCCTATTAGTTTTCTTTGCTGGTGATGGAGCCCTGTCTTTGTGCGGATGTGAAAGTGTGAACCTATGTAATATTATTGGTTCCTGACAATGTTGACTACATTGATGTACTAGTTGAGATTTTTAACTGCTAACCTTAAAATTGCAAGTCATTACAATGTGGAGTCGGCTCAACTATGCCTACATGGGTATGCACCAACGTGTGCTCTCGTTTACATCTCGTTTCTCAAAATATCGTTTATCTAAATTTAATGACAATAATTGTTCGATGACAAATAATGGAGTAGGAGATACATACTCAATTTCTAGGTCAGTTCCGAGGCAGCTAGACTGCGCGGTTACTACAACCATTGCCAGCTTTGGCACGCGTAATCACATGTTAATGTGTGGGAGATATTTGTTAATTTATTTATGCAAGTGATATATATATATATGCCCATGCACCGCACGCACACACACACACAACACACACACACCCCACACACACACACACACACGAACGCGACACAACAACACACACACACACTGCACACACAAACACACACACACACACACACACACACACACACCACATCATCACACCCCCACACACACACACACACACACACACACACACACACACACACACACACACACACACACACACACACACACACATACATACAAGGTATGCGAAACGGCACGTGATGCATTGCAACAAACGTATGCGTTGCAATTTAAGGGATAGTATGCAGGTAATTTAAAAGCTATTATTTTCAAGAATAAAAATATCTCTAACATGCATACCAAAAGTCTTACCTAAGCTTTAAAACGAAAAAAATGTTCATGTCCAATGTGCTTTGATCGCAATCTTATTCTATAATGCGTAGATATACCGTAATATACTGATCCTAAAATGTATATGCTAATATATACACCAACGCCATACCTGTTTTCTACTGTAATATAATATTACTTCTATGATATACTTTACTAGCAGTGACTTAGCTAAGTTACTACGGATAATACGCAGAATTTCATTTGTCTCAATGTATAGGTTTTACGACGGAATAAACAACATACCAGCAACGCAATCTATTAGCCCCAGCACTAATATGATCTAGGTGATGAAATTATTTTTTGCATTAACGACTTTAAATTACATTATCCTGCATCACATTACCAGTGCACGGGCATGTCAGACGAGGCAGTTAGACAGCACGAGGTGACATAGAACGTACGCCCCTCGCCGTGAGTTGCTATCACCAAACACGCTTATTCTCGTTTTCCAGCTAAGTAGTAACCATTTCTTCTTCTTCTGGATTAACTCACTTAGCTTGGGTGTGCCAATGCAGACAAAAAACATTAAAACTATGGTATTTATATTCTGTGCCCCTCTTCTCGATAATACAACGTATACTGTACTTGTATACAGACTGACTGTAAACATTTCATTCAATTGTACTTGGACGTTTTATGGCAGCTAGATTTGCCGAATGCTAGTCCGATTAATCATAAATAGTGCTTAGATTCTCGTGAATTGTGCTCAGGACGTTTGTTCATAGTTTAACGCAGCATCAATAAAGTATACTATAATACCGTGATAGTAGGTATCGCGTGTGTACTTCCCTCCTAAAATGCTCGAATTTGTTGTAACTAAATAGCAATAGTAATGTTTAGCGCTCTCTACTTTAAAACTTTTTTATGCGTTAGTCAGTTATCATGTAAAGCCATGACACGCTCCATCAGCCGGTCTGTCATCGGTGAGTCTGGCTTGTACGCTTTGCGTTCTATCACCAGTGATCTGCAAGCGGCATAAACAAGGCTTAACCTCACACGGATACCTGCGGTGTAACAGTTGAAATGTTCGTATACTTATTAATGCTATATACTTAATAATGGTATATAATACTTAATACGATTATAAAAGGTAAGCGCACCCGAGCTCACTCGCCGCGTATTTGATCACACACACACACACACACACACGTACCTTGCGAGTCTTCGATGTTCAGGAGTGTTAGACCGTATCGCAGCATTTATGAGAAAGAGCTTGAAGACGTCTCTCTATATAATAGAACGCCACGTCTAGTTATCGTACTTTGCATTGACGTAAGACGCGTGGAAAATTGTTCTCCGTCTCCATTTTAGTAATAGGATGCAGTAACGCACATTCAATCGTATTAATATATTGCAAACTCATAGACATTGACAGTTAGTTGCTCTGCCGACAACAGTTACCTTCTACGGTTAATTAACGGGTTTATAAGCGCTAGTAAGCCTATATACTTACAGTGTTTATATTATTAGTCCATGCAGAGTAAGCCCATCAAATAATACGCGTATAAATAGTATATCTATGTATAAGCCCAGCTTACCTGCGCGTTGCTACCTCCAATATCAATGATACTGTATCTGTGTGGATTTAGAATTCGGACAGCATCACTGTATCGACCTTCCCCGTACGCAACCAAACTTCTCGTCATGGCTTTACCCACAGTTTCGAAGAGCTTGTGTTGCGTCCCCGTGCCCACCCTGCAATAAAACCATGCCATTAAATTATATGAGATTATCACAGACAAACATAATCTTGACAGAAGTCGCAAGGAAAGACCAATGTTAACGTACTCCATTACGTATGTTTTAATGGACCCGATTAGGTGATCAACGTCGCTGCTCTTCTTCGCACTAAGACATGCCATGAGTAGATGGCAATCGTTGAAGACACTCGTGTGCTCGTCCAGGCGCGGTCGGCATACTTCAGCTACGTCCTCCCAGCGCTCCTGCCCGACTGTCACACCTGCAGAATTCAACCATGCTGCGTAAACGCGCACACAATGTATATCAGAAGTAGATAATAGGGAATTTCCCTATTCCCTATTCCTAATTTCCCTATTATCTACTTCTGATATATATATATATATATATAT